CTACAGGTCAGGAGTGAGGGGCACCAGGAGAGCTGGGGGGAGGGGCTAGACTGGCAGGGGGCTGTGGGTCGGGAGTGAGGGGAACCGGCAGAGCTGGGGGGGAGGGGCTGTGCTGGCAGGGGGCTACGGGTCAGGAGTGAGGGGCACCGGTGAGGCTGGGGGGGAGGGGCTGGGCTGGCAGGGGGCTACAGGTCAGGAGTGAGGGGCACCAGGAGAGCTGGGGGGAGGGGCTAGACTGGCAGGGGGCTGTGGGTCGGGAGTGAGGGGAACCGGCAGAGCTGGGGGGGAGGGGCTGTGCTGGCAGGGGGCTACGGGTCAGGAGTGAGGGGCACCGGTGAGGCTGGGGGGGGAGGGAGGAGGGGCTGGGCTGGCAGGGGGCTACAGGTCAGGAGTGAGGGGCATCGGCAGAGCTGGGGGGGAGGGGCTGGGCTGGCAGGGGGCTGCAGGTCAGGAGTGAGGGGCACCGGCAGAGCTGGGGGTGGGGGGGGTGGGGAGCTGGTCTGGCAGGGGGCTGTGGGTCGGGAGTGAGTGACTGTGCTGGCAGGGGGCTGCGGTTCAGGAGTGAGGGACACTGACAGAGCTGGGGGGAGAAGCCCAGGGCTGGGCTAGCGGGGGGGCAGCGCGTCAGGAGCAGGGGGCACCGGCAGAGCTGCGCCCAGCCCCCCACAGAAAGCAGTAGGCCGCGGCCGCTCGTGGTCACTGACACAGACGTTTAATGGAGAAGCACAGAGACGCAGCCGGCCCGTCGCTTGGTACATTCCATGCCGGGGCACCGGGCGGGACCGACGGACGACAGCAGCTTGCAGGCCACGAGGCTCACGGACAGACGGACACGCCCGCGTCCCCGGGTCAGTCCGGCGGGGTGGGGGGGCTCAGTGCTGCATGGCTGCAGCGTGGTCCTGGCCCGGCGGCTCGGCCTTGCGGGGGCTGCCCCTGCCCCCCCCGGAGCCGCCGCCCCCCCGGCCCCCGTGCTCCCCCTTCCTGTGGCCCCGGATGCAGTGGGCGTTGCCGCAGCCCTCGTCCTCCTCGTCCTCGCTCTCCGTGGAGCTCTCGCCGAAGGCCCGCGGCTTCTCGTAGATGCAGCAGCCTGGGCGGGGCGGTTACATGGAGATGGGGGGGCGATAGGGGGAGGGGAGGTTAGAGGGGATGGGGGGGCCACAGTGGAGGAATAAGGGGGTGGGGGAGCAAGGGGCGTGATGCCGGGGCAGGAGGGGGAGGGTGGAGAGAGACAGAGGGAGTCAGAAGCCCCCCAGCTGTCAGCCTGCACCCAGCCCTGTGGCCCGGCCGAGGGGGGAGCGGGGGGGCCTCTCAGAGCTGAGGCCGGAAGACCTGGGGGTCCTTCACCGACCTCTCCCGCGCACCCCTGTTAAGCCCCAAGTGGCCATGTCCCTCTGCAAAACAGCTGAGCCCAGCGAGTTGCCGGCTCCGTGCCTGCCTCAGGGAGGGGAAGTCGTCACCCCGTTAGCAGGAACCGCTGACGGAGTAAGTCTGGCCTGGGGCGGGGGGGGGGGGGGGGGGGGCACCCGGAGGGGGGGGGGGGGGCTCCCCTCCCCCCCGGGCCCCCGGGCAGGGGACGGGCTGGCTCGGGGGCAGGGTGAGGAGTGGGACACAGGGCCTTTCTCCTCCAGGGGGCGCTGGCTCCGATCCAGCCCCAGGGCAGGGGATTGGCTGGCTCGGGGAAGGGGTGAGGAGTGGGACACAGGGCCTTTCCCCTCCAGGGGGCGCTGGCTCC